TTTAGTGAGATATATCTGCCGCTGCTATGAAAGTGCTGGGATTAACGGCATGGACCAGTACAGCCTGGCAAAAATTCATTTTAAATAGACAAGTGGTGTTTTTTATTTTAAATGTTGTTTGCTTTATACTTCCTGTTTACTCAGGTAATATTATATCCTTCTGAGTTCTCTAATGGAGCTACAGACTCTATAATTGTAATCATGCATGTTAACAAATTCAAAAAAATGAACTAAAAAATGTATAAAGTATACAAGGCTAAGAGACATAGAAAGATTATTTAAGGTTAGTAATACCAGCTAGGATAAAAAGTAATTTAGGTACAACACCTTGGGCTTACTAAGATAGGATAGATGATCAAACATTTTCTCTAAATTTACCAAATGCAAATGGATTGGACATTGTTAGTATAATTCTTCCCTGTATATATTATATATAGTTATTGTATTTAGTGTATATAGCTTTACTGTGTTAGTTAAAACCTTCACTTTTAATTAGACAAATAGGGAAATGTATGATATTTTTATTATATTCTGATAATAAAGCTTGCTTAGCGTTACAGCAGAGCTAATCACTACCTGACTAAAATTTACCATAGAGGTTTGGAGGACTCTGGACAGATAGGAGTCAGGATTCCTAAGGCAGGCCTAAGAGAATATTAGCACTTTACTAACATGGAGAAACTGAAGAAGTGGTAGTCACAATTTGCTGGTTAACTGCTTCTCTGATCTTTCAGTTTCTTACCCTGCTCTCTGACTCCTGATTTCTTATTGTTAAATGTCAATTAGATTAATGCTTCAGCATGGATAGAACTTTCTAAGCCCTTTGAAAATGAAGCCCATGTACCTGAGATAGAGCCACAAGATTTGTCATTTGCCCTCCTAAATTTTCATCTTTCCTTGACCCAATCTTCCCTCCGTTTTCCTCATTACTCTCTTTCATTTATCTTTTATTTATTCTTTCATCCTGACTGCAGTGTTTCCTCCCACTATTTCTCTCTGTCCCAACCTTCCCCCAAATCTCTCTTCTTTGTTTACCTTTAGAAAAGAGCAGGTCTCTCATACATATTAACCAAACATGGTGTCTTAATTAGGGTTTTTGTTGTTGTGATGAAACACGATGACCAAAACCCAGGATGAGGAGAAAAGGGTTAATTTGGCTTATATTATTGTTGTTCACTATTAAAGGATGTTAGGAAAGGAACTTAAAGAGGGCAGGATTCTTTTTTTTTACATAACTTGGATATTTTAGAGGGCAGGATTCTTAATAGATTTTTGTATTTTGAACCATCCTTGCATCTCTGAGATAAAGCTGACTTCATCATGATAGATGACTTTTTTGGTGTGTTCTTGGATTTGATTTGCTAGTGTTTTATTGAATATTTTTGCATCTATGTTCATCAGTAAGATGGGTCTGGAATTCTTTTTCTTGGTTGAACCTTTGTGTGGTTTGGTATAAGGGTAACTGTAGCTTCATAAAAGGGGTTTTGCAATCTTACTTCTGTTTCTATTATGTAGAACCCTTTGAGTATAGTTATTAGTTCTTAGTTCTGACAGAATTCTGAACTGAAACTGTCTTGCCATTGGCTTTTTTGGTTGGAAGGTTTTTGATGACTTCTCTCTCCTTGCAGGTTATAAGCTGATTTGAATTGTTCCTCTGGTCTTGATTTAATTTTGGTATTTTATTGACTTCAGCCCTCAATTTGATTATTTCCTATCCTCTACTCCTCCTGGGTGAGTCTGCTTCTTTTTGTTGTAAAGCTTTCAGGTGTGCTGTTAAGTCACTGGTGTGAGTTTTCTCCACTTTTTTTTTATGTAGGCACTTAGTGCTATGAACTTTCATCTTAGCACTGCTTTCATAGTGTCGATACATTTGGGTATTTTGTGCCATCATTTTTGTTGAATTCTACAAAGTCTTTAATTTCTTTCTTTATTTCTTCCTTGACCTAGGGGTGATTTAATAGAGCACTGTTCAATTTCCATGAGTTTTGCTAAATCCTAACTTTAAAACAAGGTGATCTGATAAGACACAGGGGGTTATTTCATTTTTTTTTTTTTTTGTGTTGCGGTTTGCTTTTTTAGCATGTTTGTGGTTTATTTTAGAGAAGGTTCCATGAGGTTCTGAGAAAAAGGTGTATTTTGTGTTTGGGTGGAATGCTCTGTAGATGTCCATTGAGTCCACTTAGGTCAAGACATTTGTTAGTTGTCTTAT